CCAGGATGGTCTCGATCTCCTGACCTCGTGATCCGCCCGTCTCGGCCTCCCAAAGTGCTGGGATTACAGGCTTGAGCCACCGCGCCCGGCCCGCAAGATGCTATCTCAAAAATAAAAGTTTCCAGCCTTGCCGTCATGGTGAAACCCCGTCTCTACTAAAAACACAAAAATTAGCTGGGCACGGTGGCGCGTGCCTGTAGTCCTAAGTCCTAGCTACCTGGCAGGTTGAGGTGGAGCACCCCAACCCAACGAGAGGGTAAGGCTGCAGTGAGCTGTGACAGCGTCACTGCACCCCAGCCTGGGCAACGGGGTGTCAAAAAAAAACCCCAAAACCTTGGTGTTCTGTATCATTTCAGAGTGATTTGTCTTTGCCCTTACAGTGTCATTGTGTGGGTGTGTCATGGTTTACTCAACCTGGTCCCAAAGGGTAATTTCCAGGTCTATTTTTGCTATTGTAAACAGCACTGTAACACATATCTTTACACAAATATCTTGGTCAACTTCACTGATACTGATCAGGAGGTAAATTCGTGCCAGTGGAATTGCTGAGTGGCCCATGCTTGTAATCCCAGCACTTCGGGAAGCCAAGGTGCAGACCACTTAAGGCCAGGAGTTTGAGACCAGCCTGGGCAACATGGCAAAACCCCGTCTACAAAAAATACAAAAGTGTGCTGGGCGTGGTGGCGCAAGTGCCTGTAATCCCAGCACTTTAGGAGGCTGAGGTGGGCGGATCACCTAAGGTCAAGAGTTCAAGACCAGCCTGACCAACATGGTGAAACCCTGTCTCTGCTAAAAGAATAAAAATCAGCTGGGCATGGTGGCACGTTCCTGTAGTCCCAGCTACTCAAGAGGCTGAGGCAGGAGAATCGCTCAAACCTGGGAGGCAGAGGTTGCAGTGAGCCGAGATTGTGCCATTGTACTCCAGCCTGGGCGATGAAAGTGAAACTCCATCTCAAAAAAAGAAAAAAAAAATGTGGGCATGGTGGCATGCACTGTGCCTATAGTCCAAGCTACTCATAGGGGCTGAGGCAGGAGGATCGCTTGAGCTGTGATGGCACAACTACACTCCATCCTGGGCGAAAGGGCCAGACCATGTCTCAAGACATAAAGGATCTATATAATTGCAATATATCGTAGATAACTTCCCACTTGTATAGATGCAAACCTGTGAAGATGCCTTGCAATGGGGGGTACCACCTGGAAGGATCCTGGTTGAAGGATTTTGACTGCTACTGGAGGGAACAGGTGACTTGCAGAGGAGCAGTTCACAAACCTTGAAGTTTATGCATGTGTGCTTCAGAATAACCCACATTGGGAATTTACTGTGAATAAAATTTTCTTTTTTGAGATGGAATCTTGCTCTGTCACCCAGGCTGGAGTGCAATGGCACAATCTCGGCTCACTGCAACCTCCGCCTCCCAGGCTCAAGTGGTTCTCCTGTCTCAGCCTCCCAAGTAGTTGGGAATTTTTTTTTCCCCCAGAAAGTCTTGCTGTGTTGTCCAGGCTGGAGTGTACTGGCACGATCTTAGCTCACTGCAAACTCTGCCTCCCGGTTCAAGCAATTCTCCTGCCTCAGCCTCCCAAGTAGCTGGGATTACAGGCACGTGCCACCATGCCTGGCTAACTTTTGTATTTTTAGTAGAGTGGGTTTCACTATGTTGGCCAGACTGGTCTCGAACTCCTGAGATCCACCGGCCTCGGCCTCCCAAAGTGCTAGGATACAGGCGTCAGCCACTGCGCCCGGCCTTACATTGTTAACATTTAATGACGTCACAAAAGCGTCATTTAGCAGATAAACAACTTTTGCTTCACTATGGAACTTTCAAACAATCTCTAGACAAGGAAAAACTACACTCATCTTGCAGCCATAAATAAAATCAAGTAGGGTTTATTGTTTTTAAGCCAGTCAAGGTGATAAGAAGTGAATTTTAGGCCGGGCGCGGTGGCTCAAGCCAGTAATCCCTGCACTTTGGGAGACTGAGACGGGTGGATCACGAGGTCAGGAGATTGAGACCATCCTGGCTAACGCAGTGAAACCCCGTCTCTACTAAAACATACAAAAAACTAGCCGGGCGAGGTGGCGGGCGCCTGTAGTCCCAGCTACTCGGGAGGCTGAGACAGGAGAATGGCGTAAACCCGGGAGGCGGAGCTTGCAGTGAGCTGAGATCCGGCCACTGCACTCCAGCCTGGGCGACAGAGCGAGACTCTG